TAAGAATCGATTGTATGCCATTTGATAAAATGAAAATACCGAGTCCAACAGGGCCATTCTGCTATCAGTGGGACAGGAGACAGGCTCTTTAGTCGAGCATAACACCTACACTCCTAAGAGAAACTGTCATGACCAACTGTTTTCCTTTCCTCTAATTAAAGTCAGGCACTGGTGAGTTTTGATTTCCTATGTTTCCAGCAGAAATCAGACCGTGTTAATTAGAAGCCTTCTAATGTGTAAGATCTCTTGATCTATATGTCAAGGAGATTCCAAAGCGGCCCCACAAGGACTGGAAGCTCACATTTGTTTGACCTTTAAGGTCTAGCAGAGAGAGGAGAATTTCTGTAGGGGAAAGGTCAGATGCCTATCTCAGTACAGTCACATGTTGCTTAATGAGGGAGCCAGAGTTGGAGAAACACATTGGTAGGTAATTTCATTGCTGTGAAAATATTGTGGTGCATACTTACATAACCAGGCTGGCTATGACATCACTAGACAATAGAGCCCTATGGGACCACTGTTACACCCATGGCCCATTGTTGACAAAGAAGACTAGATGCTGGATAACTACGTATGTAATAGTTATTACCAAGGCATTATCACTGCTCCCAACACTCTGGAAAACTCATAAATGTTTTTACATTTGGACCTCACAGCAATTTTATGAGGGCAGGTACTATTACCATCTCCATTTTATAGATGATAATCTGAGGCTTGGCGCTACCAAGGCCATTTCCCAAAAATCACGTGGCCAAAAGCAGCAGAGCCAGGATAAGAACTGAGGGTGGCATGGTTCCAAACCTTGTGCCAGTTGGACAACCTTTCTGTTCCACTCCAGTGGAAAACTGAGTCCAGTCAGTTTTTGCTCCGCCCTTCAGATCTGCTTCCTCTGGGTTGGTTTTTATTTTTCAGCAGACTTGTTCCACACGGCAGCTGTGGATGCTCCATAGCTCTGCGTTTGCAAGATCCTTAGCATGTGTGGCCCCCAGAAGAGGAGTAGCTATAATAATAATTGTTCTATGTGCAGTGGTTCCATGGAAAATGACTGCCAATCATTCTACCCTTTGGGCAGACCACCCTTCTCACCAAGAGGGAGTGTTTACACCTCTCCTCTTGAATCTGAGATGATTTTTTGTTTTTTACTGAGACTCATTCCAGGATTTTCAGAGCCCAGGTCTATGAGATACTCGCAGCCTCTGTTCTGATGACTTGGAAGGCAGCTATCACACTGTAGAGATTGTCTGGGCGAGCCACACAAGGCGGCCTGCAGGATGAAATGCCACATGGAAGGAGATGCCTCAGGTGATGGCCATCATCAAAGCCTCAGACATTACAGCTCCATGCAGACGCCAGCCTTAATTTTTCTGACAACGTTCTTTTATGGAGATAAAGATTTACTCCCCAAACATTCCCTGAGCTTATCTACAGACATAGTGACCATCCTTTACCTTGCAAGCTCTTGGAGGACAGGACTGCTTCTTTTTCTAAACGCTCAAAGTATTGTTGTTGTTGTTGTTGTTTTGTTTTGTTTTCAAGACAGGGTTCTCTGTAACAGCCCTTGTTGTCCTGGAACTCAATTTGTAGACCAGGATGGCCTGGAACTTACAGAGATCTGCCTGCCTCTGCCTCCTGAGTGCTGGGATTAAAAGTGTATGCCACCACCACCTGGCTCAAAGTATCTTTTAAATGAATGAATTGTGACAGAGCCAGCAACATCAGGATAATAGCAAATTGATTTCTTTTTCTTCTTCTTCTTTTCTTTCTTTCTTTTTTTTTTATTTTTATTTTTCCTCGAGACAGGGTTTCTCTGTGTAGCTTTGTGCCTTTCCTGGAACTCACTCTGTAGCCCAGGCTGGCCTCAAACTCACAGAGATCCGCCTGGCTCTGGCTCCCGAGTGCTGGGATTAAAGGCATGCGCCACCACCGCCCAGCGCAAAATTGATTTCTGAAAAGATTAAAGTTAATGGTAAAGAGTATGTAGAAAACTAAAAGTAATATATAAAATTTAGTTATTATTAGTTTACCTTGTGCTTTGTTTTTATTTATTTGTTTTGTTGTTTTGTTTTAGAGATGGAATCTCACATGGAACGCAAGCAGCTAACTATGCAGCCCAGTCTGGCTTTGAACTCACAAGCATCCTGCCTCAGCCTCCTAAATGTAAGCCCCGTAAACACAGCGAGTTACAGCTGGGTGTGGTGACACACACTAGTAATTACACACATACACACACACACACACACACACACACACACACACACACACACACACAGACTGAAGCATTAGGACTGAGGGTTCAGGCCACCTGAGCCACATAAGAAGTTCAAGGTCAGCCTGGGCGATTTAGCCAGACCCTGCCTGGAACAGACTAATAAATAAAGCAGTTCATGAATTTATTCCTTAATTTACTAACTATCCAACCCCATTCCCAAGCAAATTTACAGGTGCTTTAAAAAAAAATTTTTTTTATAGGGACTGAAAAGATGGTTCAGTAGTTAAGAGCACTTGCTGTCCTTCTGGAAGACCTGGGGTTCAATTCCCACCACCCACATGGCAGCTCACAACCATCTGTAACCCCAGTTTTAAATGACCCAACGGCCATAGGTGCACCAACATTCATGTGGGTGAAATATGCATACACATAAGCTTTTTTAAAAAAATTATTAAATAAATGGGCCAGGCGGTGGTGGCGCACGCCTTTAATCCCAGCACTCAGGAGGCAGAGGCAGGCGCATCTTTGTGGAGTTCGAGGCCAGCCTGGTCTACAGAGCGAGATCCAGGACAGGCACCAAAACTACACAGAGAAACCCTGTCTCAAAAAACCAAAAAAAGGGATTGGGGATTTAGCTCAGTGGTAGAACGCTTGCCTAGCAAGCACAAGGCCCTGGGTTTGGTCCTCAGCTCTGTTTTAAAAAAAAAAAAATTATTAAATATAAAGGATAAAATACAGATAAGAAATTCGGGCAAAGGTAAGCAAGTATCCAAACAATTTATTAATCTGTAACTTGATTGCAACATACCATTTCATCTTAACTTTGCAAAGCCAAGATCCAGTACATTGTACTTATTTCAACAGTGACTGTCTCTAAGCATAATGTCGTTAGCATAAATAGTTCATCACTAGTGCCAAGAAGCAATAAAACACGTTAGTGTCTCCCGGGAAGAGCCCCCGAGGTCTGTTGTAAAGGAGCTACAGAGCAGTCACCTTCATTCCATTGGCTGGCTGAAGTCAAGCCTGGGCAGTCAGGAAGCTTACGCATGTGAGATGCCCTCAGACATCCAGGAGGCTGCAACACATGTACTGTGGAGAACCCATGCACTCTGCTGTGCAAACAGGTAGGACAGGGGTGGGGGTGGGTGTGGCTGGGGGCCCGGACAGGATGGAGGCTCGAGGTTCACAGCCAGGAGTGAGAGGAGGCCTAGGCAGCGAAGGGAAGAACTCACCACATCCTCACCAACCTCAGCAGAACGCTGGAAGCTGCCACCTGGTCCATATGACCACAGACCCTGCCAACTTCCTAGGCTTCCCATCCCCACACCTGTAAGATTAAGATGTAAAGAAGAAAATTTCAGTTGCTCTCCCCATCATGAAATTAGACAATTCCTAAAGTCCCAGTGCCACCTTGTCCTCACATGATAGTAATAAAATCTAATTGAACATATGGAGACTTAAAGTCACAGATAAATCTAGTACCCCAAGATTTGCATTATATGACCTCATAGCTAATGAATTTTCAGAAATACTACCCGAACAAAAACACTGTTATACTTAAATAAAAGATTAAACAGGATTAATACACTTCCATTTTATGAATTTCAAGATCATCTTTTTAAATTATATCTTGCCGGGTGGTGGTGGTGCACACCTTTAGTTCCAGCACTCGAGGGGCAGAGGCAGGCAGATCTCTCAGTTAGAGGCCGGCCTGGTCTACAGAGTAAGTTCAGGATAGCTAAGGCTGTTATACAGAGAAACCCTGTCTCAGAAAAAAATATATACATATATATAATTGTATCTTATTACTCAACAATAAAAATAACAGTTTTAATATGTGACATCATGGATGGATCTCAGTTACCCTGAGTGAAAAAAGCCCAAGCACAAAGTTAACGGTCCAGTGCTCCTACCCCTTCCCAGGCAACCACTGATCTTCTCTGACTGTAGACAGAATGTTTAACATGATTGGAATGCTTGTAGGGGCTCTCCTATGTTTTAATTTTAAATGGATTTTAGGAACTCAATACAGAAGCATAATATGACTCTCTGGATGCAATTTGTAATTGTTCTTTTTTTTTCCCCCCGAGACAGGGTTTCTCTGTGTAGCTTTGTGCCTTTCCTGGATCTCACTTGGTAGCTCAGGCTGGCCTCCAACTCACAGAGATCCGCCTGGCTCTGCCTCCCGAGTGCTGAGATTAAAGGCGTGCGCCACCACCGCCTGGCTAATAATTGTTCTTTTAATCACCTTCTTTGGAAAGAGAAACTCTTGGGGAAGCAAGCACTTCAGAAGAGAAAGCATGGGAAATGTGTGTCAGTGCAACCAGAACAAAGGTCTCTTATTCTAGAGGCATCCATGTGTTTGAAAAGAAGCCGCCTAGCTCCCTTTATGTAACAGCATGAATACACTCGGTGAAAAATTCAAGATGCTTTCATTTTTCAGAGAACTAAGCTGATGTGCAGCAAGATGAAGGCCACATATCATTTACTTGTGCAGAATCTAAAGTTGGGCGAGAGAGATGACTCACAGTTAAGAGAGCATATTGCTCTTGCAGAGGATCAGAGTTCATCTCCTAGAACCTACACTGGGTATCTCACAAATGCCTAGAACTCCAGCTCTGGGGGATCTGACACACTCACACTCATATACACACACGCAAACACATTCTGTCTTGGTCAGTGTTCTA